AATATCCAACATTCCTGTGTTTGTGCTTACTCTGTCTCGGAGCCAATTTGTATGACCGTTTCGAACCACCGCTTCCGAAGTGTCAGACACACACGCGTTAAAAAAAAAGTTAATATATCTTTATCTTCTTATTCTAACGTGTTAAAGACTGCGTTAACCCAATCCATGATATACCGAACGACAGTGAAAAAGTGTGTGACGGGAATAAAGATAAAGGAAATTATGAATGAAAAGGAAAATATGCATAAAAATAAAGAGAACAGAAAAAGAAGACGAAGCAGTTTTGTGAAGCCTCACGGTGGCTCGAGAGAAAACCTTGACATAATTAGAACCGAGTAAGAAAAAGGAGAAAGAGAGAGAAAGAGAGAGAGAGAGAAAAAAAAAGAGAAAGGAAAAAAAAACGACTGAAAAAACGATAATAGAAAAGAAAAAAAGCGTAAGAGAAAACAACATTAATCTTTTCAAGGTAGTTTAGGATCATTGTTTTTATTGTTGTCTTTTGTATATTTCGTTTATTTGTTTGCTATTATCGTCATTCTTTTGCTTAATCGAATTGTTATTTTTGTTGTCGTTATTACTTTTCTTCTACTTTCTCCTCTTCTCCATGTTAATTTTATTATCATTCTTTACTTCTCATTATGATTATTATTGTTACTATTATCATTGATATTGTTAAGATTATTGTCATTATTATTATTATTATTATTGTTATTATTATTATTATTATTATTATTATTATTATTATTATTATTATTATTATTGTCATTATTATTTCTATTATTGTTAATATTAATATTATTATTATTATTATTATCATCATTATTATCATCAACATTGTTATTATTGTTTTTATTGTTATCATTATTTTTATAGCTGTTTTTAATATCATTGTTGTTGTTATTGTTGATGTTATCATGCTTGTGTTATTGCAGTTGTTTTGTCGTTATCGTTGTTATAATGGTAATAGTAATAATGGTAATAGTAATAATAATGATAGTAATAATTATTGTTATTATCATTATAATTATTCTTATTATCATCATTATTTTTATTATCATCATTATTATCACTATTATCATTCTTGTTAATATTATCATTATCATTATTATTATTATTATTATTATTATTATTATTATTATTATTATTATTATTATTATTATTATTATTATCATTATTATTATTATTGTTATTATTATTATTATTATTATTATTATTATTATTATTATTATTATTATTATTATTATTATTATTATTATTATCACCTTGTAATGATAAGAATAAAAGGAAACAGATGTGAGGAAAAAAAAGAAAGACAAAAGGAAAGAAAAATTTGAGATAAACGTGAGAAAAAAACGAAAAGGAAGAAGAAAAAGAAAAAAGAAAAAAATAAGAAAGAGAAAGGAAAAATAAAAAAGGCAATTAAAGAAAATGAGGAGAGGAGAAACGGAAAAAAAGGAAGAAAGGGAAATAGAAAAGGCATGAAAAGGGAAAATGATGATAATAATAAAAATTCATTCATTCATTCATTCATTTATTCCTTTGTTTGTTTGTTTGTTTATTTATGTATTTATTCAAGTATTATTATTTTTTTCATTTATATATATATATATACATCTATCTATCCGTTTATTTGTATAATTTCAAGCATGTGAAGACTATATTCCAGGATGAAAACAAACAAACAAACACACGAGGAAAGGTAGTGAAAGTGAGAATCAGTTTAGTGAAGGTGACTGTGAATTCAGTGATGGTGATGTTAACTGAAAATTTGTGAATATGTCTCCTCTCAGTGTACTTAGACGAATGGGAAACGTTTGTTCAGTGTAGTGTGGTGTACCTTTTTTATTTTGTCGCTGTCTGTCTGTCTGTCTGTCTGTTTTGTCGGTCTGCCTCTCTCTCATTCTCGTGGTTATCTAATTTCATTTTCTCTTCCTGATTCCTTATTTTATCTCCCGTGATCCTCCTCGGTTTTAACTCTGTCTCTCTCTGTATAAATGTATGTATGTCTATTCATTTATCTGTGTAGAGAGATATGTATATATATATATATATGTATGTATGTATGTATGTATCTATGTCTCTCTCTCTCTCTCTCTCTCTCTCTCTCTCTCTCTCTCTCTCTCTCTCTCTCTCTCTCTCTCTCTATCTCTCTCTCTCTCTCTCTCTCTCTCTCTCTCTCTCTCTCTCTCTCTCTCTCTCTCTCTCTCCCTCTCCCTCTCCCTCTCCCTCTCCCTCTCCCTCCCCTCTCCCTCTCCCTCCCTCCCTCCCTCCCTCTCTCCCTCCCTCTCTCGGCCATAGATAGAGACAGCATGATGCTTTCTCTTGCGCCGTCTCCAGCCTGTCTATTTAAGAGGCGTGTATGGTTAGCCAGCTCCGTCTGGGTGAAGCCACGGGCGCGAACTCGGAGAACAAATATACACTTGAATACAGAATGGCTTCCTCTTCCTCCCTCTCTCTGTTTCTGTTTCTGTTTCTGTCTGTTTTTCTTTCTGTCTTTGTTTCTGTTCCTGTCTTTGTTTTACTGACTCTCTGTATCTGTTATATGTTTCTTTTTCTCCTTATCTTTAATTTTTTTTCTTTTCTCTTTCTCTTTCTTTCTTTCTTTCTTTCTTTCTTTCTTTCTTTCTTTCTCTCTTTTCTCTCTCTCTCTCTCTCTCTCTCTCTCTCTCTCTCTCTCTCTCTCTCTCTCTCTCTCTCTCTCTTCCTCTCCCTCCCTCCCTCCCTCCCTCCCTCCCTCCCTCCCTTCCTCTTTCCCTCCCTCCCTCCCTCCCCCCCTTTGTTTCCCCTTCTCTTCCCCCTCTCTCGTCCCCTCTTTCTCCTCCTCTTTCCCCTTCTATCTTTATACCTCATTGTAACCGATTCCTCTAAAACTCCTATAAATTTTCCATGTGACCTTTCTCTTCTTCCGTTTACTTGCACATGTACAGTTGTACAGTACTAGTAACTTCTGCATTCCTTATATACACGCTTTCGTAGTCAGATGTTTATTTGTTTCCCTGTTTCTTTGTTGGCTGTTTAAGTAAGTGATTATCGGTTTATTGTTTATTGTGATTATTGTTTATTATATTTGTCTGTGCGTTTATGTTGATTTATTTATTCATTTATTTTGTGTAATGTTTTTCGTTTTTTTTTTATGTCTCTTGTATATTATTTCACCTGTCGTTATATGTGTGGACATTTTTATTGCAATTGGCAGAACTCATCAGGTGTATTGACAAATGTAGATCATATGTTAGTCACTAGCTGTTAAAAATGACATCTATTTTGATTATATAATTCTGGTCAGGATGCATGAGCTTTCTCTGTCTGTCTGTCTGTCTGTCTGTCTGTCTGTCTGTCTGTCTGTCTGTCTCTCTCTCTCTCTCTCTCTCTCTCTCTCCCTTGCTCTTTATCTTTCTTTTTCTCTCACTCTCTTTCTCTTTG